TTATTATCCCAGTGCTGTAAATATACGCAGATAATTAAAATGACATTTTTACAAAGTCTTGAGCAGCAAAGAGTTTGATCTTCTACACATATCTTTTGATACTGCATTTGGATTTTGTTCATATGTGCTGTTTAGTTTTTGTATTCCTCAGGGCATTTTTTTTCTGAATTGTATAAATATTTGTTTAGAATCTTAAGCTTTATTTTTCTTTTCTTTCTCAATCTTCTTCATTCTTCATGATGGTTAGAACTGTGCCTGTAGCTCCTTCTTTTTTCTATGTTGGCATGTAGAGGATGTTACATTTTCTCAAGTACTTCATTCTGCTCAACAGTCAACATAGTTTCTTTTCTTTATTTGAAGAGCTGTGGAAGTACAATTTCAGTGGTACAGGCTATCACAGGTCTTGTGATATGTACAGAAGATGGAAACTGCTGACCTAAGGCTGCAATTATTATACATTTCCACTGGATATAAAAATATTTAAACTTTTCTTGAATTCATGGTTTTTTGCATGAAGATAGGGTGATTAGAAATATGTATAAAGAATGCAGGTAGCACACGTTGAAAATTCATCCTGCTCTGTGAAATCCTGTCAGTCTTTGGATCCTGTTAGAGACAGAGTTTAGTTCTTGTCAAACAATGATGGCTGTTCCCAGTTCAGCTGGGCTTTGTGCACATAGACCTTCAGGGGTGAAAAGCAGCTGTGCTTTTCCACCACCCCAATCACCTCCAGCAGCTCAGTATGATTCAAATTCCTGATGGAATCATGTGCAGAGAAGTCTAGTATAATTGTAACTTTAATGAGCACTATTCTGACATTATTTAAAATTTTTCTCTCAGCACAGTACTGTGTAAATATACAGACTAGATTTTATGCAAAGACTTGAGGCTTAAGTCTCCAAACATTTCTGAGTGCACTGGATTTCAAGGGCAATTGTCTGCTTTCACTATTATAGTATTTTAAATATCAGGAGCAACCTTTAATAGGTAAAAAAAAATAACTGGTTTTAAAAAGAAATAACATAGCCCTTTGTTATTTTGAAATAACAAATTTTTACAACTTTTTCTATATATACTCTGCACCTCTGCACCTGTACTATGTTTTGTTTGTTTAAAGAAGTGGCATTCACCTTCAAGTGGCATTCTTGATTTTACGCTAGATAAAAGGAAGTGTTTGCCTTTCTTGCTGGTAAGAAGAAGAAGAAGAATGTGAACTCTTTGTTCCTTAGGGAAAACTTGAGCCATGTCTATCCTGAAGAGTCCTTTAGGTCTGCTTATTTGTTGTGCTCACTGTGCCTTGCCTCGGTGCTGAAATGTCTGACAGAATCATCAGAGATCAGGCAGATGAAGATGTCAACAAAAACTCCAGCTCTTTGTGGTTCTGTACATTTGTTGACATATAAAAAGCAAAATAGTTTCTCTCTCAGGGCTAGCAGTCTTTATAGCAATAATTATAATTCTCTCTGTAAGCATTATCCAAGTCTTAGATTAATTTGTAAAATGGTTTTTGTTACTCTTTTCCAGTCCTTTTATATAGTATAGTAATCTTCTGTGGATAAACATGTCACAGAATATATATTAATTGTACAGTCTGGGGTTTTTTTCCTCTTAGTTCTGTCATTTGTTGCTTGACTAGACATGCAGTATTTTACTGCATTGATTGCAGTTTTTCCATAGGGATATTCATAGGTAAAATTTAGAAAAGATGTTGTAATTGTAGATCAGATGTAGAGTATGAGAAACATAGATGCAGATGTTACAGTTTTGTTTGTGTGTAATTTAGATTTCATATATACACTTTAGTACCTAGGGGAGATGGGTATAAAATTAAAGAGTTGGAAACATTGTACTGAGTGTAATTGCACATTGTCACTACTTGGAAGTTAATGTTTTTTTAGACAAGTTTGAAAAAACAGCGTGAAATTCATCGTAACTCTCTCTTGAAGGGGGGAGGCATTGAATAACTTTCAGGAAAATAAAAAAAAAAATCAAACCCACACTGTTGTTGCCATTCTGTGCCAGAGAAAGTACACAGTTAGGAAGTATTCTGGTTCTTCTGTATAAAGTGTTGCTGACATTTTTAGGGTATGTGCAGTGAGTGACCTTTGATAAATTATAAACTATAGCTGGACTATTTTCATGAAAGTTGATGCACCTTTGATCTATTTGATCTCTAATACTAAGATGCTATTAAGATAATTAAAAATACTTAATATTTGAAATATTTATTCTTTTTGTTTTGTGATTCCATGTATGAAAGCTTTTGTTGTCAAAAGTTGTCTCTTGTTGCTTTGATGTCACAGCACTTAGCATTCAGAGAGACACTGATGATCAGAAAACGGAGGTGACTTTAACAATTTAGTCTGGCCTGTTTCGTAACACAAGCTGTGGATTTCCTCACAGTGATTGCAGCATTAGATGAGCAATTTTCAACAGAGCTAGGGAATAATTATCTTTCTATGAAGATGGCTTTTAGACTCCAAACGCCTTTTTTCATTCTACTTTCAGTAGGAAATAGGGATCTTAATTTTCTGAGGAGGCCTCTGTGGGGAACAGTAGTCCTCATGCAAGTTTTAAGTACCCTAATGAGCAAACTGTCGTTGGCTTTATTGGGAATTTACTTGAGTAAAAATGGAAAGGATTTGGCTCATTAACTTTCAAATGCCTAGATGTATAGACGTCATTTTACTTTATTAAGATGCTTTATGATATTTCACTTGACTTTTATCCTTTCTTTATATTCTGTATATATCTGTTCAGTGTAATTGCACATCCTGTATGGTTAACTGAGCCTGATATAACACCTGTTGCTCACATTCAGTGGCCTTTATTTGAATGAACAGTTTTCATCCATAAAAGGAAAAATCCAGTTCTGTGCTTTGTAAATTAAGGATACTACGGCATTTTGAAATCCCTTCTTAAAAATTTCTTCTGCTGTAGTACCAAGTGGTATAGTGTGTAACTAGTGCTGGACAGACCCCATATGCCACACTCTGTTCTACTTATTGCACACCACATCTTTGTGGACACAGCCTGGCTGCATTATGGTTGCCTGCTCTTCTTCGTCCCATTGCTCTTTTGTTATGTGCTTAAAAAGTTAAATATGTAACTCAAACAACTGTGTTGTGACCGTGAAGTTTATTTTAAATGTCGTTCTAGTAAAACCTAAAAAAATGTTTTTTAGTTCCACAGGACTTGAGTTGAAGTTTGGAACACATGTTGAAGACTGGGGAAAATTTCATGTGATTTTTGAATACGTTTGAGGCCAATTTGTAAAATAAGCTAGGTTGTAGATCGTACATGTTTATTTGGAAATTATGTCTGATCTTGATGAATAAATTAAGGAGCTGCAAATCATCATTTTCCAAGAAAAGGCCAAACAACCCTGGTGCCTCTGCCAGATATCTCTGATTATCAGCTGCAATCATCATGTCTTTGCTAGGAAGGTCATAAAACTCCTTTTTTTTTTTTTTTTCAAGCTTTTGCCCACAGCCTGTTAGTCTTGATTTATTTATTTTTTCTCTTATAAATGAACTTCAGACATTAAATGAAAGAGAGATTTAGTTACTGTGCAGTGAAGCCCTTTGCACTTGCCTTAGAGCAACTTACTAAGGTATGGGGGGTTCTTATTTCATGGAAAATGCCTTTACCAACCAGCCTCATCTCTACTGCAGAAACCTATCACCTCTGGTTCCAATTCCATGCATTAATATAAAAATCTGAGAAATACCACATGAATGCAACATCTGTCAGGATTTATCAAAATCTTACTAGTCTAGCTGATATTAAAGCCACATGATGATTTTGGACTTGCCCGTAGTGGGCCAATCGGGCATTAGGAGAGAGCTGTGCTGTTTTCCTCATACTGACCACTTCAAGGCATTAGATATTAATCATCAGACTCCTAAATGATTGATTTCAAAATTAACAGCTTAAAGGATGTGTGCTTAGAGAAGCCCAAAGCTTCCTGTTGTGTTTCTATAACTATTTGGTGGTTTGTATTTAGAGCTTACAGTTCTGTATTTGAATTTTAGAATCTGAGAATCAAGATGTTCGTAAAGTAGCGTTGACTGCATTTTCCTGGCCTAATCCATCGGTGCTGAGATAACTGAATCGTGTGCTTAAATTAGCTGTTCTAAAACAAGAAAAAAAAGCCTTGTACAATCTGACAGGATTCATATTGCTCTTTCTTAACTGTGTTAAAAGGAGAAATTATACTAACCTGTTTTTTATAGTTCAGTCTAGCTACTTTATGTTTCTACTCAGAAACTAATGAATAAATCATGTGTTACATATGTGTTAATCTAACCAGATCCTCAAGGAAGAATAAGTAGAGCAGCTGTTATTTTTACAGCTGTAGCTCATAATTTGAGTGCTCTCCATTTAGCTAAGTATTCAAATGCTGTCTATTTAAATATAGTGCAGGATGTAGACTTCTAATAAGTGTATTGATACAATACATCAAACCTCTTTGCTTTTTCTGAAGCCCTAATTTTATGTCAGACACTAGCTGTTAAACTAGTTTAAAGCTAACTTGTACCATGATTCCTTTGGAGAGAGCTTATGTCTTAAAATGTTTTTGCAATGCCTAGCCTAGTTAAGTTGTCAAGTTGAAGCTGTAAGTTTCTCTCTCAGAACAAGTATTAAATAAAAATGTTAAACTGTGGTTTATGTGAAGATCTCCAGTCCAAGGATGTGGCTTCACTGAATTCTCAAGACCTTTGTTCACTGGGGTGAATCTCTAGTTGTTAAAGAATTGACCTCATAGATATTAGATATTATATAGATATTAAGTTATTCTCATAAGCCACCAGCGTGCCTGTAGCAAATGTGGATAGTGCCTTCCCAAATCTTCGTTCGCGAAGCCCAGCCATGATTCTCCACAAGTCATGGATAAGTTTATATAGTAGAGCACTTGCTTTGCATTAGAAAATAGTTGTGTTGATAATTTCTTTCACATAAAGATTTTGGTGTTCTGGCTAGGCTTTTTTTGTTTCAAGGTTTAGATGGAGACCCTGCTAATGGCTATTTATGAAGAAAATGAAATAATCTATGTATACCACATATGGTAAGTACTTACTGTTTTATTCAGATTATTTAATTAAAATTTAATTAAAATATTGCTGTTATTTTTTGTTTGATATTTCATTTATCACAAATGAAATTTGTTGTAAATTATGTATGAAAACTCACTTTCTAGCTGTGTCCTCTCACAGATACTGCTTTTTTAGTACATTCAAGGTTTTAAAGGAACTATCAGCAGCTCTTCATAGTAGAGATAAAATGCTTCTGTGTATTGGAACAGAAAAGAACACATCTAGAAACAATTATGGCAAAGTAAAAATTTTTTCTTAAGTCAAAGGAGAGAAAAAATCCGTTATCCCAGAGATGAAGTGGCCTGACATATTAGGACACTAGGGAGATTTCTGTTTCAGTTTGGCAGCTGGTGGCATTAGAGTTGTAGTTCTGTTAAATAGTCAAAGAAAGGCTGGTAGCTATAAATAAAATCTTATTTGCTAGCAAATAGTTACTGAAGTACAAATGTTCTTTTTAATGTGTTTATTGGGTACTCCTCTGTTCAATTGTATATGTCATTTAAATATAATCAGCAGTCATTCTGTGGGAACTCTTTAGGTAATCAGAATGAAATATTGCTTGGAAAGGTGAGGATTTAGAACTAGGAAAGAGGGAGAAGGCCCTAAAATTTCCTATGGCTTCTGGTAATCAAACAGGTAGCATGAGCAATTTGTTGATGAGTGATGCCCTAAATAACTTTATGCCCAATTAGGTATCACCTTATCAACAAAGGGAGGAGCTGTAGTTGGTTTCAGAGGGTTGGTACTGCACTCTGAATATCTGTAGAAGATACTTCTGTGTTGGGCCTGTGAGTCCATAGCCCCCAAAGAACTTCACTGCTGATAGGATTCTGCCTGGGACTTGCAGTGTAGCACCATAAAATCAGCTTTGTTGGCTGCAAACGCTGTGTTCCGCCTGGTTCACTGGGCTGGGGGATGCTGCCATTATCAGCTGCGCTGTGGATGAGAGGGGTGATCGGAATGTGATCTTCCCTTTGCTGTTCTATCTCACACTGTGCACACAATAATGTCCTCTCATATCCTGGCTACCTGTAAAGTAGTTATTAAGAACAGATGTGCCCGTTGCTGGAAGTCTTAGATTTTTTCTAGTTAGTTATGGGGGAAAAAAATCTGTTGTTTTGCATAGCTGTGGAGCTGTGCTTCAGTCCTTTGGAGTGGTGACAGTTTCTGTGCCCTTCAGTGACCGTGGAGCCCTTGGCTGCTTCTTGGCTGCCCACTTTGTTTGATTGAGCCTTGTTTGATTGAACTGCTGTACCGAGAGCCTCATGGCTTATAAACATCAAAACATGTGAAGTCTAGTTCAATGGATGAGAAAAATGAAGCTTGTTGAAAATGTGCCAGTTTCTCCCTGTGTCTGAATTGGTCCCTGATTAGATCTTTGAGGTTATGAAGCCTTCCTTGTTCCACCTGGGGACTCTAAACCAAGGTACCATGTAAGAAGGTTTCTGCATCAGCTCTTGCCTCTGTCATACAGATTGGACCTTGTAGCTGTTACTTAGGTGCTCTAAAGCTATTTGGCCGTACTGGGGAGCAGGATTAGGATAACAGGATGAGACTCCTGTATTCTCATTTTGCCTCTGATTTATTGCTATGCTATGGTCAGAAATGTATTTTGCTGCAGCCATGGTTACATTCCTACAAGCTATATTTCTGGTGGGGTTTGAATTTCTTTGATTTCAGTGGGAATTAAAGTGTAATGAGATTTTATTTTTTTTTTTTTTAAAGCACTTGAAAGACCTATTACTGTCTTATTGGCACCAAAGTTCAAAAACATAACAAAACTATTAAAAATGGTATCTCTTAGTGTTAGTAACTTCATCAGAAGTTACTGTTCTTTTGGTGTGATTGTAGGAAGTGATTTTCATTATTCCACAATATGCCTTGGCAGTTTACAGTGTTTACTGTACCACTGTGTTTGTAGTGTTCCATGGTAAAGTCCAGTGGAACCTGGGACCTTAAGAATCCATCAGCCTGATGAATGCTGAGGTTCACAGAGGTTCACTAGCACAAGGTTTTCAATGAAGACTTGGTTTGTGGGTCAGAGGATAGAAGGTTGATTCCTTTTGTTTTGCTTTGAGGGGAAAAAGGTCTGTTTTTAACCAGATTTGGATGCAGGTTTCTGTAGGACTGCTATTCACAGCTACCTCAGAGTTTGTATGATGTTCATAAAATCAGAAATCTCATCTTTATTTGGAATATCGAGTTAGTTTGACTTTCTGGAAGCAGATGTTTTCACTATTGTCTGTGTTTTATTTCCTCACAGAAATCATGATGTGTGTTTGTTTGCTTTTATTCATTTAGTCCAGTGTGAGATTTTAAAAACAAATGTTTCTTTAGGAAACTGAAAATATAGCAATAACTATATAACAGTGTTAAAAACTTTATCCAGCTTAGTAACTTAGAAAAATACAAAGTAGTGGGAAATATAAAATCAAACTCTAAATCCAAATGGAAAATAAGTTTCATCTCCAAAACAGTTTCTTCTTTTTAGAATTTAATTCTGAGCTATAGCAGATATATATCTTGCTTTGAAGGTAAAAAGAAGATTATGTAATCATTTAGATTAGAAAAGACCCCTTAGATCATAGAGTCTAACCATTTAGACTTCCAAGTCCACTGTTAAACCATGTCCCAAAGCACCACATCTACATGTCTTTTAAATTCCTCCAGGGATGGTGACTCAACCACTTCCCTGGGCAGACTTTTCCAGTCCTTGATAACCCTTTCAGGGAAGAAATTTTTCCTAATATAATCCAGTATTACTGATTTTCTTGCTCCTATGTTCTCCAATTTGTAGAAGTAGTATAGGAGTTTTTGCAGGATTTTGACTGTTTAATTGAGAGTTTAAATTTTCTTTATATAGATTTAAATAATAATCAGGAGAATACCAGGTCAATACCATACTCAATAGACAAGGCTTATGATTTCGTTAATATTTATAAGTTAATACTGTACTCAATAAGAAATGCCTTCATAATTGGACTGTAGGAAGATTAAGTAACTAAATATGAAAGGGTAATTTTAGAAAGTATCTGTCAAGCTAAAGGAACAGTGTTGTCAGCTGTGGTGCTCACCATTCTGTTCAAGATGTGTGAAACAACTGTTGCAGGACTATTTTGGGGAAAGGGATGAGGCCTCTTTCAAGGTTTAATTTAGGTAAGAACAGAGACAACTAAGTATATTGTAGATAAGTTCTTATACATGTGATATCTTGGCAACCATGGGAAGTTAAGATAATTTCAGGTAATCTCATCTTTTCATGTAGCATGAGAATATTTTATGATTTCTCACTTAAAAAAGAAAAAAGGCAGAATTGTTATTTTTCCCTCTAAACACAATAAAAGCACCTTTTATTCTTAAAAAGATTTTACTTGTTTTTCCTTATATAAAGAATACCTACATTTTCCAGTCGCAGACAACTGTGTAAGTCTTGAAAACAGTTTCTCTTGAAACCAGGGGAGAGAGTAAGAGAGCAAATATCACCTGATGTTACAAAGGATTTAAAAAAGACACTATAAAGTAGTGTTTCAGATGCTTTGATGGGGAGGGTACAAGATGACCTCAGCAGATTAAAGGAACAGTGCTTTCCACCTCATTTTGCCAGATCTTTCTGGCTGTAGCTCTAGCTTGCTTGATTGTCCTTTACAGCACCAACACAGGGCACTAAGCAATTCAACAGGATAAAATTATCAGAGTTTATGAGCAGTTAAAGTCTACTGGAAACATGTTTCTTCAGTCTTGCCGTGATTGATGAGACAATCTGGGTATCTCTGGTTGTAATGTACAGAGAATAACAAACTGAAAACTGTTTCAAAATGACTTGTTCACACTGATACACAGTTGTAATTGGAGCAAGTAAACTGCGTGTTTCAAATAGCCCAAGAATATTTCTTTAAAGGGTATGTCTAGCTTCAAGTATGGAGAGTCAGTATAAAACAGACAGGGAGTACACTGGGATTACAAGATAAATCCTTTATTGTACTTCAGTATCTTTGGTTATTTGACTTTCTGGTTTAGTCTCAGGAAGGGTGGTTTGAAGGGATATTCACATTACACAGTCAGCCTCTCACATGAAGCATGCTGGTATGTGCAGCAGCTTTTTGTGTAAAGATTGAGACAAAAAAGACGTTGAGTCTTTTCTTGCTGTCTGTCACTGAGTTCTCTCCCCTGTCTGTCACCCACACATTTTCTGAACTTCCTTTTACAGCTGTCATGCTCATGGCTTCCCTACATTCCCAAAATGTTCTTCCCTAGGCCTGTCTTCAGGTGAGTTCTGGCCTCTCTGATTTTGTCCTGAAGTTTCTGAACAGTTCTTTTGTACTGTCTTTTTTTGCCTGTCCTGGTTTTCATCTCCCTTTTTCTTTCTAAATTTTAGCTCATCAAAAAGCTTCTTCCTAAGCCAAGTGAGCCTCCTGCTGAAACTCCTAGTGTTTACATAGGGCCTTCTTCCTGCCTGAATTCTCAAACATCAAGAAGCTCTCCGGGGAACGCTTCGACCTTATGCCTGTTCCCCTGGGATTTTACCCTGCTGTTCTCTTTAATAAACGTAAATCTGCACTTGCAAAATCCCTCCTCACTCTGCTGATTACCTTTCCAGCCTTTCTCCATGTCCTCAGCTCAGTCATCTTGAGGTCACTACAACCCAGGCCACTGGACAAGGACCACCAGCCAGTTCATGCCTGTTTGTGAGCAGCAGCAGTGTTACTGCTGGTGAGCCCCTTCAGTGGCTGTGTTAGGAAATGGTCACCAATGCAGTGCCATAACTTGCATTGCCAGTCTAGTGCTGTGCTGTCCTCTCAGCAGATGTCCAGGTTCCTTGATCAGGAAGTCTGTAGGACACCCCTGCCCGCAGCAGTAAAAGGTTTTACTCTCTTGCCTCAGGGCTTTGGTCTCTGTTTCCTAAAAAATCCCCAAAACAGTTTAAAGCCACCTCACTGGATTTAGCCTGTTTGCAAAGATGTTCTTCCTGGTCCAGATCAGGTGGGTTCTGCCTCTCCCCAACAGTGGTTTCTCTCATCAGACAAGATGCTGTGATTTAGGAAACCAAATCCTTGCTGGTGACACTGGCTCTGAATGGTGCAGGTGGCCTATGGATGTATTTGCTGCTACTTGTGTCTCATTAAATGTAAAACAGCACGGGGACATCAGAGATTTGGGTACATGGTGCTGGACTGAAACCTGCAGGGAGAGCAGAGTCCTGTAGGAGAAAAGAGTCATTTTAGCCTGCTTTGGGTTTGTTTTCATTTTCCTCAGTTGTGCTATTTTGAGGAGACACTGCTTGTAGTATCTAAACTAGTTTGTTTGTCTCTGCAGAGCATTCTGCTGTGAGTAGAATATGCCTTTAGTCAGATCTTCTGCAGAAAGGAGACCAGTTTATTATCTGTATACATCTTCTATCTGATTTCCTTTTCTGAGTTTGGCCTGCGGGACTGAATCTCAGGCTCTTCCTGTCTCTTTGATAGTTATGAGTATCATCTGGCTGTGTTTTCTGGGAAATTACAGGTTTTCTTTTAGGACTGCTGCCAGGCTGTAGCATGCAGAGACTGCATGTTTCTCTGTCAGAAGTGGAAAGCCCTGTTTACATTCAACACTTTACTCAGCAATAGTAACTGGAATGGAATATCATTCGAATGAGTTCAGAGGATAAATTTCTGGAGAATTTACCTTGTTGCTTCTGTGTGGTGCCTAGCACATAAGGCTCTCACCTATCACAGGAGTCTCTAGGCACTGGTAAAGTACCAGTGCTAAAAGTCACCATTACTCAGGATGGATTTTAGGTGTTCTGGCTTTTACTTTACTTGCTGGAGTGCTCAGCAGTGTCCTAGAGGCCTCTTGAAGCCTTTCAGAACCTCCCCTGTGTAAGATAGTGCAGATTCTAGAATTAGAGGATGGATGGCTTTTGGGCTGAGATCTAAAAATGTTTTCCTGGTTATGACTTGAAAGTTCAGCCTGGCTGCTTTAAATATTTTATAACAACATACAATCCAGTAAAATTATTTGATAGCTTGGCAATGTGGTAGATTCAGCCTGCACTGTTATGAAGATGAGAAAACCTGCACCAGTAAGACGGTGATCAAATTATCCTTATCTACTTGAAACATGTTCCCTCACAGGTGGAAAATATCATAAATTCTTAACTTGTGTTGAAGATTGCTTGCATAATCTATTATTGTCTGTATGAAAAGCTTTTTGAAACTACTTGCAAGGCAATATATTAATTCATAATACTTATAGGACTACCAACTAATAGCTTCATGACCTTGAGGCTGAAGATAGAAAAATGATATTTTACAATAACAGATTTTTTATTTATTAATATGAAAATAAAATGGTTTGCAGAATTTATGGATAAAAGAAGTTGACACAGGAATTTAAAAATGTGAGATGATATTTTAGCAGACATACTTGGTTTCAAAAAATAGCATGACTAAAGAAGATAGGGTCGGCCACAGTTCCTTAAAAAGAGAAAAAAAAAAAAAGAAAAAAGTCTTTGAATCAGTGTTGCTGAGGATGAGTTTTGGTTTTGGAAAATGGAGCTAAATGTGATCTTAGGGCACAAATTAGAAAAAATGAGGGAATCTCCAGCAAGTAGCTTCAGTAGAACTGGATGACTGAGCTGACACAGAGATCATAAAAATGAATCTGAACATAGCTAATCTGAGTCAGTTTTAACGGCAAAACAACAACAAAAATATTTTGTAGTTGGGAAGCGGATGATGGATGGTTTGTTTCTTCAGGTAACTGGGTGATGGAAAAGCAACTTGTTAGCAAGATTAAATGTAAGAGTGATGTAAAGACACTGGAAGCTGAAGGGACGCATTAACCTGCTGCCCTGCCCAGTCTGGTTTACTTGGCTACAAATTGTGTGATGTGTTCAGGAGGTCAGGCCAATCTCTCAAACTCTTCAGTCTGTATTTTTCTTCCACTGATCTTTATAGAATCAAAAGAATAACTATGGTAAGTAGACACAGCACAGTTAGCCATGATTAGCCACATTTTCTAGTGTCTTGTGGCCTTTTTGGAAACTTCTGAGATGGATGCCTTCTGCTGGTTACAGATATTAGGTATGTCTAGTCCACCTAGTTTTCAGAGTTCTTTTGTTCAAGATTTTTAAAGCTATAATTAGACTTTTTATTTTTGTGTGAGAGGTTAGTTTTAAATATCTGGGGAAAAAAATTCAAACCAAACCAAAACGTGAGCGCTGCTGTGAGTGAGCTGCAATCCCTGGCTGAAAACACTGAATTCAGAGCTCAGAGGAATGCTGACTGGCTACTGTATTGCTTATTAGAAAACTTGGTGTTTTCAAAAGCTTGACAGTACAAAACTAAAATGAGCAAGGCAGTGTTGGATAGAAAACTTCAATTAAAAGGAAATCACCGAGAGTTGTTCATAGATATCTTTTTTTTCTGGAGAAGGGGTCATGCAAGGTGCGTTTTCTGGGGGCATAATAGACCACTTTCTCCTACAGCAGTAAAGTTTTTGCCAATTACTCTATCTGTAATCTTCCTTTTATTATGGAAAATTAATTAGAAGGTTCTGGAGGAAATGGGGCCTAACAGGGGTCTTTATTTTTTATGGCCTATTTAGCTTTGAAAGCACAAATTAAAGTATTTTCCTAATATTTATAATGAAATCTGTCCTCTCATTCTCCTGTCTTGGTGATTACAAAACAAAAGCCTAGACTGCAAGGCTTCAGCCTGTATAATGGAACAAACAGCAGCTATGGATTTACTGTGCTGGCTGAAACAGAAGCATGAAGAATTTAACCAAGGCAACGGAGTCACAAAAAGTCTTTTTAAAACAAAAATGTTTGTGTGCACCCTGTTTGGAAGCTGCCAGCAATATAAAACAGTGAGAGCTAACTAATATGATAGCATCTGGCTTCACCTATTGTGTTGAATGGAGATACAATTGGAAAAATGAAATATTCTTCTGTAATTAGGTTAAGCTTGCAAGGAATAGAGCTCTTAAATATTCTGAAGTTATTTTAAATAACTGAAATAGCACGTATTTTCATCCTTTTGCTTCAAATGCAGTTGTCTGTTTGAAGAAGTTTACCAAACCATTAGCAACATGGTTTCAGTCTTACTACCCTGCACAGGTAAGATGTCTTTCTGTTTTCATCTGACACGGCACCTCCCTCGCAGCTCGAGAACTTGCTACGAGGCGGTATATCACAGATTGAGAACCAGAGAGCAGATGGAACACAGAATGCCTGGACAGTTTTTTTATGAGAAGATCAGAAATTATGACTTTATAATCTTCCCTCTTACTGTTTTGGAGAGAAGCCATGTTTACTGCTTTTACAGTAAGCATTAGCATAGCAATTTATGCCATCAGCTGTAACAAGTAGGGCTGGTGGGAGAGGAGGTAAGTAGTGAGATTGCAAAAGACAACCCTGAACCTGAAGAGCTGAGAATACTGATCGGAAATAAATGCTAGTTATTCAGCCTGTGCAATGAATTGTGAGTATCTAATGGTGAGTCCAGGCTGATGAGAAGTGAAACCATTTCCAATTCTGTACTTCTTTTACCAACACCTGCAGACAAACTGAAACAGGAGGCCTCTGTGTTTGACATGTTCTTTGCAGAGAGCATTAAAGGAAATTGGAGGTTTTTCTGCAAAAACACTTTATTGCTGCTGTGAACTTAACTTTAGCTTCAGCCTCCTGGAGTCAAATTAAGAAGTGATTAATTTTTTTTCCAATTGTGACATTTTTACACTTGTAGACCAATGTTTGCATTGGGTCAAATGTATATTATTTTTCTTTATCTGTGTGAGCTTTTTAATTTTTTTTTTTTTTTAGTAGTTTGTAATTCATGTCCTTTACATCTCCATTGTCTCTTTTGTCTGCGAGGGTTCACCTCAGATAACGTACTTCAGTTAAGGCTTCCTGCAGGAGATTGCAACTGTCTGTTGCCATTCTGCCTACCTCAACTTGTGGGCTACAGTGGGGGAAATGATTCTGGAAAATGACTTGTCCTGAGTATAATCTGAGAACAGATTGAGTTTAACATTTTGCCTGGAGAAGCTCTGGGTCTCCAATCTCTGAAAGCGTTCAAGGGCAGGTTGGATGGGGCTTTAAGAACCTCGTCTAGTGGAAGATGTCCCTGCCCTTGGTGGGGGTTGGAACTAGATGATTTTTAAAGGCCTCTTCCAATCCAAACCATTGTATGAATCAGAAGACATGGTAATGACCATGTGAAGGCTTTTTGGACTCCTCAACTCTCCCACATCCCCCGGTTGTTTTGTGAATTGCAGCAAATTTCTGCAAAGGGCTCTATTATAATAAAGTACAAAGCTAGCTCCAAAGTGGCTCTGAAGACTTACCATCCTATTTGCATTAATAGCTGTAAGGATCATGATTTTCAACAGTGGGTCTCCTTGTCTGATAGTAATTCAAGAATTTCCTTGTTAGGATTCATGACAAGCTTTAACAAGCATGTTTGATTGTCAGCTTGTACGTGATAGTGAAGAGAAGAAAACAAGCATAACAGTGAGTACTAGACAGCACTATACTGCAAGGCAAATTACTGTAATAT